TCTTTCTGAGCTTCATAGAGCTTCATCGAGTTCACCGGTTGGGCCATCCTCACATGTGTATCACAGATTCTTATCAAACTACTCATTCTGTTTACATTTTATACGTCATTTAATTTAGTTGCGTTTTTCTTTTGCCAAAACAATCAATGTTTATAATAATAATAATAAATGTACATATCAGTTTACAATATCATTGTTCATCTTTATATTTACACAAAGTAGTGTTGATTACAAGGAGTACAAACTCTGCAAATTTAACACAAATAATAAATCACATCTTTGTTAACAAGACTATTCAATATCAAATAGGATTTATTTAAGTAGAGATAATATTAAATAAATATAAACAGAATGCACTTATGTCAACAGGAGACTGATCAATCGCAGTTCTAAATAACAATGAGAAGATATAACTTATACAGCACCAAGTGAATTTAAACTTCGCCCTATTGTACAAGCAGGCAGCTATCAGGACTCAGTAGCTAAGTGAAGCGAACGATACTGGGTTCGAGTTCTGAAGTGAACAACAACTTTGAGATTCAAGTACATCCAGCTTACGAGTCCCAAACAGGATGAAACGCGTGTCAAACTAGATTCCACTGATAACCACTATCCATCTTCGTTTTATAATGCTTGTAACTTAAGACAATATCGAGACAATTCAGAGGAGGATGTACATATTACAAATAAGAGACTGATCATAGAGAAGATACAAATTAAACAACATCAAGGGATAATCTTATATCAATAGTTGATTATCATTTTCAACAGTTGAGATCATAAATCATTTGAAGCCAGACCACTATGGAAAACCTGGAAGCAATGGACGGCCGTTTAGTCCTATTGTGCGACTCCTCAGCAGTGCGCCTGCACAACATCGCCTCACCAGATTCGAACTTAGGAACTATCAGTCTCGCGCCAGGCGCTTAACCAACTAGACCACTGAGCCGGTATCCAACGGTGATACTGTCTAACTTCAACTAATCCACGAAATTGAGCGACACATCCACCACTGTCATCGGTGAGTTACCACCTCACAAATGACTCGGTTGAACTCCGCTGGTCACTGCTTCTCACTAGAACTCCGGGATATATACCTTGAAGCCTGTCACTAGTGAGCATATGTTGATTAATATCAGAATGGGTTTTGTGGAGATTTTCATTTTACCAAAACTTTTAAATCATCATTTAAAACAAGAATAATAAACTATAATAATAATAATAATAATAACATTATCACCAATATAAATAGAATACATTATTAGGTCAATTAAAAATTTGGCAAAATATATTTAAAAAATTTTTTTGGCGGTCATTCAATTTCATTCAATTTTTGACCTTAAATAAATTTGGCAAATTTTCAGGTTTCTTATACGTAATCATTAATATTATACATTGAAATTGTGAACATAATTTTTTTAAAAGTTTATTTTAACATTGAACAAATTGTTTTAATCATATAAAAATTAGGCAACATATTTAAATAAATAAATAAACAGATATGAATTAAGTTCACAAAGTGTGAGAGAGAGAGGGAGTGAAGGAGAGAGGGAGTGAGGGAGTGAATGAGAGAAAACTAAATTCAGTAATATAATTAGTAAATACAATTACACTTATCTAAACATACTTTAAAGTAATGTAAATAGATTAATATGAATTATTGAATGAAAATTTAAATGGATTATAATGTCTATTAAATAGTGAAATTTCAGTTATTTAATTAGTGATAAAAAAAAAGAATAACATCTCTGCAAATGCTATCATATAGCGAAGTGTATACGGGTATTACCAGGGAAATCCTACTCATTAACTTCTCGTGACTATGGTGTTGTTTATGAAATTGAGAGGGTGAAAAGTGAATGTCTGAGGCTTTAACAGGGTTGGTGGACATGTATACTTCATCTAGGGGAGTTGGAAAACCCTGATTTCAAACTAATAATCTACAAGAGCTCCAGGATTCTAAGGGAATAAATGGCAGATGTACTATGAGACTGCATCTCCTGACGTTGTGCCACTGCCTTGTGGAGCTCCGGGTGTGGCTCCATAAAAAAACCACCTTTTTCGATTTAGGCATCTGAGCAGTAATACAGCCCATACACTAGTTAAATGACTTGTATAGAGCATATGTATTCTTTGCCTCTTTCTACCAATATTTATGCGCTCAAATAAATAAATAAATCATCGAAACTTATAAAAAGATAAATTATAGATGAAACATTTAAGAGATTCATCAGTAAAGTCAGTCAACATTGGAAAACCATATCCATATACTTTATTTTAGTAAAGTTTCATCTTCTGAGCTGTGAGAACGAATTCCACTGGAATCATACACCTAATGGATAAATCTAAACCATCCCATACACTTTATGCTTAAATTCGTACTTAACATATGAAAAGTATTACTAAGTTATGATGTACAGCAAAGTCGAAATTAGATTGGCTTTCAGTTTCTTACTAGAACTAAGATGATAAAGATTAATGAATACATAGTTACTTTTTTTCATTATCATGATGTCGTACTTAATGAGTTTATCAGAATAGAAGCGATCAAAGTTCAATCAATTAACATTCTCCCTACTTAAAACGAATGTAAATGAAGACGTAAGCAGCACTGTAATTGCCTATGATTTGAATTCAATCAAACTAAAACTTAATTTTAAATACATTCAGGATTACCGTTTTAATAATTTGCAACTTCGAGTGGAGGTAACCCATGTCAGGTAGAGATAGGTATCTACCTCAGTACAATGGGAGATTCAGTTTCAGTTTCAGTTTGGGAAGGACAGGAGGCTCGATGGCCTATGTTAGTCCTGGCAATGGTGGTCTCTCAGTTGATCCAACTTTCTTTTGAAAGAGTCGACGGATGGAGCCTCAACGACGTGCTGAGGTAGTGAATTCCACTCGTTGATGATTCGATGGGAAAGTCGATAGTCAGCTGACAAGTAATTTGTTCTCGGCTTATGAACTTTTTTGGAGTGTCCTCGTAAATTCTCTGTTTTGGAAGACAAGAAAAATGAGGGCATGTTAGGTGCAAATTTATCACTAAGCAATTTGTAGACTGTAATCAAGTCGCCTCTAGTTCTGCGATATGACAACGGGAAAAGGTTCAGCTTGGCCAGTCGAGATTCATACGGAAGCTTCGCTATTCCGGGAACCAGCTTAGTCGCCGTTCTCTGAACCTTTTCCAGAAGCTCACTGTCTTTTTTAAGCAGGGGCTAGCCGCTTGTATGCAGTACTCAAGTTTAGGACGAACGAACACTGTATACAAAGTCAAAAACGTCTTAGCGTCGACATGACTAAAAGCCCTACGTATTGACCATAACGTTCTAAAACTTTTGGCGGCTATTGCACGGCAGTGTGCAGTAGTCTTTAAGTCTTGACTAACGATAACTCCTAAGTCATTATATGTCTGGACGACAGGTAGCTCAGTGTTATTCATCGTGTATGTATCTGTGCCTTGATGACCGATATGCATCACAACACACTTGGAAGTATTTATCGGCAACTGCCATGTTTGAGACCATTCAGATAACTTCTTCAGGTCATTTTGAAGTTCTAAGCTATCACTCTTACATCGTATCGTTCTCCATATCTTGACATCGTCAGCATATAGCAAGACCGATGATGATAGGAGACAAGGAAGGTCATTTACATACAAGAGGAATAGCACTGGCCCCAAAACTGTACCCTGGGGCACTCCACTAAGCACAGTTTCCCAGCTAGATAACTTTGAGTTCACCCTTACTCTTTGTTGACGCCCAACTAAGAAGTCTTTTATCCACATCAATAAATTACCTCCAATCCCGATATGTCTTAACTTATATAACAGCCGGTTGTGCGGAACTTTATCAAAAGCTTTACTGAAATCAATGAAGGCGACGTCTACAGGTAGCTTTTGGTCCTTAAGAGCGCACCAGCTTTCACGAGCCACTAATAAGTTAGTGAGACAAGAATAACCTATTCTGAAGCCATGCTGCTTCTCCGAGAGGATCCGGTTTTTATCGAGATACTTAAACAGCTCCTTCCGAATAATCTTTTCTAAGATTTTAACAACCACACTAGTTAGGCTAACGGGGCGGTAGTTCTCAGGTTTGTGTTTCGTACCTGTTTTGAAGACAGGACTTACTATGGCGTTTTTCCAATCTTTCGGTAAGCGACCCTGCGTAACGGATAGGTTAAAGCATGTACTTAAAGGGTTCGCAACGAAGTTAGATAATTCCTTCAGTAGCCTAGGATGTAATTCATCGGGCCCCGTGGATTTACCTATGTCAAGCTTATTTAGCAGACCAAAGACATCGAGTTCTTTAATGGTCACGCTATCCAGTGTATGTATGGGGGGATCTGTATACGCTGACGAGAAGGGTGCTTCTATGGTATACACGTTGCTAAAGTAGTTCGAGAACGCTTGAGCCTTACCAAAGTCGTCCTCCACTAATGATGAAGCAGTACTGTCTCCCCATAGAGCAGGAATATTTCCTTTTCTCCTTGTCCTTTGGTTTATATAGGAATACAAGCGTTTAGGACATTCTATGGATTCCTTAACAAGTTTTTCTTCGTACAATTTTCTAGACTTACGGAGGGTCGAGGCACAAGTGTTCCGAGCCTTTCGATACTGAGATTTTGACTCATCAGTCCCCAGTAACCTAAATCTATCCCACGTTTTCCTTTTCTTACGGAGAAGGATACGGACCTCCCTACTGAACCATGGTGGTGAGTTTTTCGGCCCCTTTGGTATAGTCCAAGGGATGTGAGGTGTGGTAACTTTTAAGTATGATTTTCGAAATGCGTCCCAGGCCGTTTCAATGGAGGACTCTGGGTCTATTGTCCAATCTATTAACGATGCTGAGTGCATGATGTCTGGTATGTTTGCTTTCCAGACGTTGGGTCTGGACTGGACTGACGCGTCCTCATGACTGGCAGTTATATGGAAGTCGAAAGTTAAAACTGCGTGGTCACTTTTACCTAAGGGTGGCATATGGTGGAGGTTCGCAACATCATCCTCATAGTGAGTCAGTATAAGATCTAATAAGGATGATTCAGTGTCCGGGTCGTACCTAGTCGCTTCTTTCACATGTTGCACTAGGGCACATGTGATAACCGCATCAACTAGTTCCTGCTCGAAGGAATTTTCTGACGATTCAGTTCGCAGATTTTCCCAGTCTACCATAGGTGCATTAAAGTCCCCTAGGATTAGACATCGACCACTTTGGGACCAAGTATTGAGACTGCTTAACAGGATCTCATTTGCCTCACAGCTTGGACTGCGATAGACCAAACCAATCAGCAGCTCTTGTCCCTTGCATTTTAAGCGAAGACTAACTAATTCACACGTCCCACTCTCATGGGATACACTATCGATAATGGTAAATGGGATAGCATTCCTAATGAATAGAGCTACTCCCCCTCCTTTGCGCTTTTGTGTTCTGTCGGCCCTTACTAACGTAAAGCCCTCGAAATCAAGTTCTATACTATCTATAGCCTGTGTCAGCCAGGTTTCTGTTACTGCGATTATATCTGGCTTTATAGAGTCAATCTGCACACCTAGTTCCGATCGCTTATTAAGTAAGCTTCGTGCATTGGTGTAACAGATCCGAAGCCTGTTTAAGTGCCTTCGTGCTTCACCCAGAGTGGCTTCGGCATCATTCTCTGTCGAAGTCTTACAACCCGAAAATTTACAATTTTCAGGTCCTTTTCGCCAGCGTCTAACCTATGTTGTAGTTCTTTCTCGGCTTCCCGTCTTTTAACACGGTCTGCCAACGGTAGGTCCTTTCGGATAAAGACTCCTGAACCCTTTAATTTGTGTCCATTTTGTAAAATTAGGTCACGTTCGTTTGAAGAGCCGAATACTACTTTAAGCAGTCTGGAATGATTTGGTTTCGAGTCCGTTAGACTCCCTAGTCTATACACCTTTAGCAAGGTGACCCCAGTCATATTTTGAGGCATGAGTTGATTAAGCAGCTGCCTAATCAGTACAATGTCATGCTCAAAACGAGCTTTAGGTTCAGAGCTATCGCTCTCCTTAATTCTATGAAAAATAGCTGATCTGTCGCTATGATCAGCTTTCGATTTTTCAACCACTTTTACGGGGGCAGGTTTCCCTTTTATATCAATACTTTTCTTCCTTACAACCTTTACCCATTCGTCAACGCTGCTGGTAGAAGCAATAGCAGTTGCGTCAAACCTAGTGTTGGGTTTTGGGGGGTTGTCGACGACCTGAGGGGTCGTGTTATGTTTACCATTTGAAACCGATCGAGCCTTGCGATTGCGGCTCCTAGGTGTTTCCTGTTGGATCCCATCTGGGAGACGGGGAACAGAAGACCCTACTTTTCTTGAGCTTTTGTTTAAGGCAGGCCCCTTTGGAGACTGCTTTTCCTTCTTTGACGGGCGTGAGTCATCTATCACCGGACTCACCTTAGTTTCCTTCACATTGATTTGCGTGTCAACAGATCGAGTGCTGTTTGACGCGTTCCGACTATGCTTGTTGAAACACTTCTTTGCAGCATCAACCAGTGAGATGGCCTCGGTTAACAAGCTGTTTGCATCCGAGCAGCACTGTTGACAAAGCCACACACAACCCTTCTTACTGAACCGTTTGAAAGCAGCAGGCGTTAAGTTCGTGCAAACTTCGTGGTACCAGCCTTTGCACTCGTCGCACTGCATGCCGCTTTCAACAGGATAACGACAACCCGGACGTTGGCAACTGCTTTTTTTACACTGTCCGGTCATTTAGGAGGGGTTTTTTCAATATGCGATGATACCCAGAAACAAAAAAATTATCAATGACCAAAAAAGTGAAGAGCTGTAGATTGCTAGGACCAAAAGTACTAACAGATACAGTTGAAAAAGAGGTACTAAAGAGTACCAACGACAAAAACAGTAAAAACGATACTTTAGTCAAATACTTTAACTGAAATAAATTCAATTAAAGTGAAAAACAGTAGTCTTGATACGTAATAAACGATCAAAACAATGAAATTTACTCAGCGAGGAAAAATACCACTGTCCTTTTTAAATAGCGCGCGTATATATGATGGTCGCATAATTTCGTGAATTAATTGAGGTTAGGCGTTGACAGTGTTAAGTGCTGGGTCGATGGTCTAGGGATTAGGCGTTCGCGCGCGAGACTTAAGGGCCTGGGTTCGAATCCCGTGAGCGGGATTGTGGACGTGCACTGTTGAGGAGTCCCACAATAGAATGAAACAGCCGCTCAGTTCTACGTTTTCAATGATCGTGTAACATCAATCGGTTCATGATCTTAATCAAAAGCTTAGTAACCCCCACAATCACATACTGATAATTACATTTTTAGCAAAGTTATTAGCTATGTTTTCATGATATAATTCAATTTTTAAAAATATATTCTAGATCCTACTGTAGTGAACAAGAACATAAGCGGGGGCAATCGAACGTATTTCAATAAAAATTACAGAACATCTTAGTAAAATCTGAGAACCACACAGTAAATTCTTCATTTGCATATTGTTCATTCATAGGTCAATCGTCTCAGACTTCATTGTTCTTTCATTTACACACCAAGCATTCTTTGCTCTCGTTGTCTTTTCTTTGATCTTATTAACCTTCTACCTTTAGACATTTCACTTTCAATTGATGATACATACTATTTATATCTGTCGACATTAGTAGCATACACCACACTGTTGACTAATTTATGTATTACCTTAAAAATGTTTTACATGATATATATTCTAATATTGTTTCAACAAATCTTGCCTGTATTTCCAACATCTATGGTTAGTTTTTTGTTTCTAAACTGTTATAATGATAAGAAGAAAATTATTAAAATTGTGGACAATTGTGAACATTGACTACTAATATGTAGAACTTCTGTAGAGTCGATTGATATGTTAAGCCTACATAACAAATTCTACCTTCTGGACAAGCCAATTTAACTGTTCTTCTTGATTCACATTGTTAGTTATTCACTAATCAATGTTGACTGTTTTTATCCTACTCATCACATGTCTGTAGCTTAATTTTGTGTGACTATAAACGTTGAGTTGGTCCACAAGCCTTCTCTACCGCGCGTCATTTCACTTCGCTCTCTTGTATTCGCTCCATCCATCTGATTTCTTGTCCTGATCAGTGAGTATATATATATATCCATTCTTGTATTTAACTTATTTAATTCCATTATTCACTAACGCGATCTATGCCGATGATCATATACAAGGATTGGCATGTATATAGCAGCAGCAATCAGAAACGATCTAACTGGAGTTGTAGTAAACAAGAACACCAGTGGGGACAATCGAATATATTTAACACAAAATTACAGAACTTGTTAATAAAATCTAACAATCATATAGTAAATGCTTAATTTGCAAAATGTCCATCAATTGTCTCAAAATGACTCAGACTTCATTGTTCTTGCATTTTCATACAAACTGCATTTTGTTTCCATTCTTTACTATTTGATCCTCTTGTCTCTCTGCTGCCAGACCTTCTGTTCATGACTAACATCATATACTACTTATGTCAATATAAGTAGCACACACTTCAGAGTCAGACCCCGGGCTACTAAACTCCATATCTCTCTAGTTGTCAAGTCAATACATTAGAACTTAACTAATGAAATCAAACTCTGAATATGCATAAAACTTCTATTAAATTTATGAACATTTAACCTGAATCTAGGAGATAAGATTAGTCAACTGAACTACCTATTAATTCATATTCTATATATATATTAACTTCTAAAGACTGAAAACTAGTTCATAAAACATTAAGTCACATAAGTCTGCTTATTTCAATTTTTGTATTAGACCATGAATGTTTTGTTTGTTCTTGTTTCAGTAATACAGCTGTTCGTTTTATTATAAATAAATAGTCATTTGATATCTAATATCTAGTTTGAATGATTAAGTTTATACACCATTTAACAAATAAGTAGGTTACATGGAATAGTTTCTACTTTTATTCAACCGATGTACTTTTTTTTCGGTCGAACTTTAACAAACTTTCACAAATTTCTGTTTAATCTATTGAATCACCATTTAAATGTTATAAATAGTTTCATATGATAGAATATTTAGATGAATGTCCTATAAATGGAACAAAATACATTTTCGACCCATGTGTTTGTCGCCATGGTTTTATTTAGTTTTTCATGGACAAAAAAAATTGTTTTTACTAAAATAATTTTTAAAAGCAAATTTACATAAGATAAAGTGAATTGAATATTGTTTTTCTTCTTTTTGTTGTTGTTGTTGTTGTTGAAATAATGTAAATTGTCTGAAATACCAGATTATGTAATGGCTTTATTCAATATTATAGTTTTTGGTATAATATAAGAAATCTAAGTACAAAAGTATTTCAACAAGTTTCCGTTGTTTTTTTTCACTTCTTGATAAATCCTGACGATAACATATTAAGTGATCGCCATTTAGATGTTAGCAAACCAGTCAATTGATATCTAAATAATGTACATTCTTTACGTTGCGTATTGTCAGCAATCACAATATCTTTGATTTGGCTTATTTTGTAACTTGTATAATGAAAGGTTGTAAACATTTTAGAAACGTACAAAATGACAGAACTTATTGAAATATCTAGATGGCAGGAACAGGTAACCCAGTTGTTCAAGAGGGCCGCCATTCCTAATTTTAAAAATATATAACAAAAGTTTAATGATATTGTAGTGATCGAGAACACAAGTGCGGGTTAATCGAACGCGTTTCAACATAAATTTAGGGGATTTCTTAATAAATTCTGACAACCATACAGTAAATATTTCATTGACAAAATGTCAATCATTTATCTCAGACTTCATTGTTCTCTTTCTCCTTTCATTGATCTTCTTAACCTTCTGCTGCCAGGCATTTCACTTTCGACTGATGATACATACTGCTTGTCAGAAGCGGGTTTGTGGAGATTTCACAGGTTGAAATCATGAGTCAATTGAATCCAGACCACCATGCAAAACCTGGAAGCACTGGACGGCCGTTTCGTCCTAGTATGGGACTCCTCAGCACTTCTCATCCACGATCCCACCTCACCAGATTCAAACTCAGGACCTATCGTCTCGCGTGCGAACGCCTAACCGGTGTACCACCTAGTCGACATCTAGTGGTGTCAATGTCTAAATTCAAACAATCCACGAAATTGGGTCACCGTCCTCCATTGTCTTCAGTTAGTTACTATCTCACA